TGGGTCCTCCCCCCGTTCCCCTCTCCCCCAGGCTAAAAAAGCCAAGTGACCTCAGCCACTCCTCGTATGGCTTCCACTTTCCACTTTCACCTTTCACACTCTCTAATAGCGTAATATCTTTCCTATACTATGGTACCCAAAACTGCACTCAGGACTCGAGGTGAGGCCACACCAGCACAGAGCGCCTCCCTTGACCAGTGCTTTGCCTGATGCACCCCAGGACACAATTGGTCTTCCTTGATTCATATTCAACTTGCCATTGACCACGACCCCCAGATTCCTTTCCGTGGCCCTGCTCTCCAGCATCTAGTTCCCCAGTCTGTATGTACATCCAGAGTTGCCCCATCCCAGGTGCAGAATCCAGCACTTGCCCTTGTTATACTTCTTACGGATGGTGACTGCCCGGCCCCCTAATTTATCAAGGTCTCTCTACAAGGCCTCTCTGCCATTTAGGGAGTCAACAGCTCCTTCCAATTTTGTATCATCTCCAAATTTGCTTATTATCCCTTCAAGTTCTGCACCCAAGTCATTTATGAAGATACTGAAGAACACTGCGCCTAAGATGGAGCTCTGCGAAACCCGCTAGTGACCGGTCGCCAGCCTGATGTAATCCCATTCACTATAATCCTTTGCACCCAACCCATGAGGCATTTGTTCACTCATTGCATGATGTCTTTGTCCTGCTGTGTGCTGGACATTTTATCCAGAAGGATTATATGAGGGACTTCATCAAAAGCTTTACATCAACTGGTTTTCCTTGATCAGCTAGGTGGGTTACCTTATTACAGAAGAAAATCAGATTTGGCAAGCAGGACTTTCTCCTCATGAAGCCTTGCTGGCTGTGGCTGATGACTGCCTTGTCCTTCAAGTGTTTTTCAATACCTTCCAGAATAGTCTTCATAACTTTACCAGGCACTGAAGTAAAACTAACATGCATGTAGTCACCAGGGCCATTCTTTTTGACCTGTTCAAAAACTGGGACAATGTTAACTGAACCTCTCCAGATTCCTAAGACCATTCAAAAATTATTTAGACATCAGCCACCACTTTATCATCAGGCCCCATAGATTTGTGGGGATCGGGCTGGAACAGCAGATCATTCACAGTTTATCATTCTCCCAGCCATGGTCCTCCAGCTCGGGGTGCTGAGACTCCCTTAGTTCACCAGCGGTGTTGAAGATAGAGGCAAAAAAGGCATTAAGCATCTCTACCTTGTCTATATCCCTGTTTGTGAGGTGACCAGCCTCACCCTCTAATGGGCCAATGTAATTTCTGCATTGCCTTTTGCCATTATTGTATTTAAAGAAACTCTTTTGGTTGTCCCCCAGAGTTCTGGCCAGCTTCAGCTTGAACTGGTCACATGAATTTTCTCCCTACAGTGCCAAGCAGCACCTCTGTATTCCTCCCATGTCACCTGACCTTGTTTCCACTAAGCATACACCTTTTTTTTTTTTTGCCCTGCCTCCAACAGAAGATTCCTAGTCAGCCAAGCTGGCCTTCTGCTGGCCTTCTAACATTTAGGAATTGCCTGTTCCTGTGCACTTAAGAGGTGGTGCATAAAAGGTCATGGACTAATGGACATGAACACCTTCAAAAGCATTTTCCCAGAGGACCTTGCTCACTAGTTCCCTGAGCAGCCTGAATTTACTGTGTAAATTTCTTGTCCTTGTATCTGATTGGAACATCCCTTGATGCAACTTGTGACTGTTGTCTCGTCTTTTTGCTGAGAAGGGTTCAGCTAGATTAGATAGGATTCGACTCTGGAAGTCTGGATGAATTCTTTGCGTTTCCAGAAAACTGTCATCCCCTTCCCACTCTTTTGTCATGTAACAATAAATGTTAAACTTTTTTTAATTTCTAAGGCCGCAAATTAAATTATTATGTCGCGTACTAAAGAAAGTAAGTAGCTTATGTGATCTAAGTGAAAATTCTTGAAATATTTACATAATTGCAATTCTATGATTTGATTTTTCTTTTGCCTCTTTCCCCAGTACAAAGTACATGTAAGTTGAAATGTAAGCTCTGAAGTTCCTCTGCTACAGTGGAAACGTGTTTGTTCCCAGCAGCCCAGTTCAACCTTCTCATGCACCTTTCCCCTCAATTTTTATGGGAATTGTCTTGGTGTGTATCTTAAGACAAGGTTGAACCTGTAATGCAATCAAGATCTTTCTCCAGTAGTGATAGTCAATTCAAGTATTGAACATAGGCATGATTCCTAGTCTCAGCATAACATTGCTATTGATCTCATTTTCTGTGGCAAAAAAAATAGGCAGGATGCATTATTCTTTTTTCTGCTAAGAAAAAAAAATCAAGGCAGGCAAAAATATGGACCCATAACTCCTATGCTGTTATGGGACAGTTTCTTCCAGAGTTAACAGTAAGAGAAATAATGTTGTGGCCACAGTAAAATATCCATAAACAATAGTAAGTCTGCCTCAGGCAAGTGCTTTTGAAGTGTATAAATATGTTCTGTTCAAGATCAAAAGCAGTATAAAAAGTTATGTGATCACATTTTAAAACTGCTGCATTTGATAAATATCTAGCTTTGTGTCATTATTTACTGTATTCTGTAGATGGGAAGGTCAAACCCAGAGAGCTCGAAGCCAGCCGTTCTGTCACATCCTGACATACGACTTTGTGAGGGGGGTTGGGCTGAGATTTTATGGCTCCATTCTCTGCTGCACCAACAGAGATCTGCCTATGTATACAGAATGCAGACAAGCCATGGCTAAAGGATGTTGGTTTTGTTTCTCCTTCATAGTGTTTGCAATAGGTCAGAGACACAAAACTGAGAAGGCTTTAGAGAGGGAGCTGCTCTCTGAGTGTTTGTGTGTTTATAAGAGATTAATTACTATAATTTACATTTCAGTAACCATTTGCTGATGGATATGTTAAAAAAAAAGCAAACTCTTCGGGATTTGAGGAACTTTTCTAAATGTATTGTTTTGCATTCAGCCAGTTTTAAGGAATCCTGCTAATTCCTGCAATAATTCCACTTGGACTAGAGATTCTGTGGGATAGATTATTGATTATCCAGCTACAATAGTATCTGTGTCTGGGATTTGGGGGAGTTAAACACGTGTTACCCACAAACCCCTCCTAGGGAAGGAGTATTTCATGCAGCTCACAAGAATCCTTCATTAGCACTTCACTTCTAGATACATTATTAGAAAGAGTTTAAAAGCAGCCTGGGGCTGTTTAGAGAGGCAATAGCACTTCCTTTATTAAAAAAAAAAGAAAGTGTGGGGGGAGAGGCAGTAAATTATAGAATATACAAAAAAGTCCTTGAGCTACAGGAGAGGCTGAGAGGGAGCAGAGAAGAGAAATCTGTATAGTCTTGATGAGGTCACACTTCTAGATACATTATTAGAAAGAGTTTAAAAGCAGCCTGGGGCTGTTTAGAGAGGCAATAGCACTTCCTTTATTAAAAAAAAAAGAAAGTGTGGGGGGAGAGGCAGTAAATTATAGAATATACAAAAAAGTCCTTGAGCTACAGGAGAGGCTGAGAGGGAGCAGAGAAGAGAAATCTGTATAGTCTTGATGAGGTCAAGTGTGTTTCTTCAACATTTGCCATAATTATCTGGCAAATACCTGGCAATAATGGTGTCATTAAACAGAGCTGTGGGAATTCAGAGAAAACACTTCATTTCTTCCCTCCTCCCCCCACAGGCACTGTAAATGAGTTCACGCTGGATTTAATCTTCCAGGCCTGGTCTGCTGGTGTCACCACACAAATGCAAGCTTGATGGCAATGAATAATCTCCACATATCTGACATTGTGATTAAATGAAGCATGAGGGTAGGCTCTTGCTTTTGCATGCAGCATAAGTAAGTGAGGCCATTCTGCAGAGAACTCTTCTGCACGTGTCCCTCGTAAGGACTTTGATTCCCTGAATTATCACAGTGGCAGCTTTCAACAGAGTTAAAACTGCTTTCAACAGGAAAACATATGTCATGTGAATAATGGTAACACTACTTTGTCCATCCCTTGCTTCAGGTGCAAGACGAAACTTAAGAAATGATTTGCTGGTGGCAGCAGATTCTATCACCAACACCATGTCTTCTTTGGTGAAAGAACTAAACTCTGGTGAGTGAGACTAATGAGGCTGGATAGTCACCATATCAACATTTCACATATATCTGAAAAAATGGGAGATAGGAAAACACAAATGAACAAAAAAAGGAGTGTAATGTATCTTCAAAGCTTTTTATGCTTTTAGGAAAAAAATCCCTTAAAAACAGCTTCCAGAACACAGCAGTTCTCAAAGCCAAGGATGTAGAAGTGCAGCTGGATACAATGAAAACTTTTATGTTTGTTTGTGATTCCATACGGAGTGGGATTTCACTCTTCAGAAATTTCATTCAGTATGGAACATACTGGCCCTGTTGTAAAATGCTGTCTGTAGTATTCTCATTCAAATACCCTACCTAATAACTGAGACACACAAAAGCTTCACTGTTCAGTCCCACCACAAGAAGAAAACTATCAGCTACGCCAATATATGTAGAATAATATTCTGTTATTCACTATGCAGAGGCAGCATTCACACTTGGGAAGGCAGAGAAAGGCTTAGAGAAATAGGGAAGTATACTTACCCTTGTGAAAGTTGAATGGAACTTTTTGGTTCACAGAAGTGGGCAGCGAGACAGAAAGCAACGTGGATTCTGAATTTGGACGGACCCATTTTGATGACCTGGTTCCGTCCCCGACGTCTGAGAAGGCTTTCCTCGCGCAGATCCATGCCCGGAAGCCTGGTTACATCCACAGCGCTGCTGCCACCGGCTCCATGCGCAGTGACATGTGGGTACCTGCTCAACGTGCCTTCTCAGTCTCATAGAATCATAGAATTTATGGGGTTGGAATGGACCTTACAGATCATCTAGTCCCAACACCTCCCCACCAGACCAGGTTGCTCAAGGCTTTATCCAACCTGGCTTTGAACACTGCCAGTGTTGGAGTAGCCACAGCCTCCCTGGGCAACCTGTGCCAGTGTCTCACCACCCTCACAGTAAGGAACTTATTCCTAATGTCTAACCTAAACTTCCCCTCCTTCAATTTGAACCCCTTACCCCTTGGCCTATCACTGCAGTTCCTAACAAACAGTCCCTCTCCAGCTCCCCTGTAGCCCCTTCAGATAGTGAAGGGTCTCTGCTCAACCTTCTCCAGGCTGAACAGCCCCAAATTCCTCAGCCTGAGGAAGTTCGTTCTTTTTCCTTTGAAAGCAAGGTGCACCACACAATATTTTCTCTTCTTCTCAACTATTTGATTAACAAAATACCTAAATCCAAGAGCAGCATAATGGTCAGATAGTGAGCTCTGTAGAAACAAAGGCTGGAACTTAAGATTCCCTCAAGAGTGAGCTGTCTCACATCCAGCCTTGTACACTCAGGCAGCATGAAGGCTGTGGGACAGCTGTTCTCCCTAATATGCCCTGCAGTCCTATTCCCTTTATCCAGACTGAGGGGCCTGTTGGAGCTCACTGGAAAAGAAGTTTTTAAATGGAAAAGACAGACTGCTTTTTATTGACCAACTCGATTGATCAACAAATACGTTTATTTTTGGAACCTGAATCTACCTGTCGGAGACAATTGGCATCTTCTAGTTATTTTTAGTTTAACTTCTTTGTATCAAGTTATTACGAACTTTTGTTACTCATTTCCTTCGGGAAATGCCTTCAGCAGAATATGCCCTTTGGTGTACTGCATCAATGCCAGACCATTGGAGAGGGGAAATATCAGAAGTGTTTTCCACTGCCAGGAAAATACTAACCAATGGAGCGTGTGGTTGGACTAAAAGTATTCCACAGTCCTCACAATAAAGGGACGTTCTGTTGACTCTGAATGTCATTCATCTCAGGAGGCTATTTATTAATTGTCTTTAGGGTTACAGAAGATGGAGACCCCTATGTCAGAGCAGATGATGAAAATTATGAGAATGACTCTGTCCGCCAGCTGGAGAACGAACTGAAGATGGAGGAGTACCTGAAGCAGAAGCTGCAGGATGAGGCATACCAGGTGGGAGAAGGACACCAGCTGCCCATATTTCTCCATGAGTGAGAAACATCGATGCACCAGAGATGGCCAGGGCCATTCTTAACCAGTCCTGAGCTCTGGGGTGTGATCTCTCCTCAGTTACTAGAGCAGCCACATTCCAAAAACTGCTGCTGCTCCCTTCCACACATGCATCTAGACTCTGTGCATATCCAGGAGTACCGCACTGCCTACAGCACACAACAGTAGTCCATAAGCTTACAAGCGCATCAAGTGGAACAAAATTTCCCCTGAGCTTGTTTTCTGCCCATGCCTACCAAGTCACTTAGACCTCATTCCCCCCTGCCATAGATGCTGGTTGTTGGTGTCAAGCTGTCTTGCTATTTTCAGGGTTTTTTTTTTTCCTCCAGTAGCAAAAAACATTCATAATGGTTTCTCCAGTGTGAACTGAAGCTCAAGTGCAGTCTGTGTGTTATTGCCATTGTCAGAATCTGGAAGTACAGAAAAGGGTCTGAAACAAATTGTATCCCAGGGGACCAAGTATTCAACAAGCATCTGGTATGGAGAAGCCTGGGGATTTGTCATTAAACACCTCCCAGAGGAAGTTCTCAAAGGGCATTTGTTTAAGAGTCTGAGTAAAGCACATATGCCAGGGGGAGCTGGAATTCTGTAGATATCCATGTCTGCATCATGGTCTCCACTTCTACCTGGTGTAACAGATTATTCCCAGGTTTTAAGTTACTCTGACTTGGATCATCTGAATATAAAATGCTTTTCTTCCTATAAAGTTGGTGTCAGTAGGAAGGCAAACCTCGTTCAGTTATTTGAGAGTAGAGATGAAGCAAGCAAAAATAACTTTTTTTTCTCACATGGTGATCGATTCAAATTTGGAACCCACTGCTACAGATCATAACAGAAACCAGAAGTATAAATGGGCTAAAAAAAACAGATTAGGCAAGTTCAGAGAGAGCAGATGTATGCAAATGAGGTTCACAATCACTTTAAAGGCAGGAATTCTTTAAACTGCTGATTGCTGGGAAGTAACAAATCTAACCTTTTTTTTCCTCTAGTAGTTTTCTTGTAGTGTCCACTACCAGTCACTTTGAAGACAAGAATCTGGGACTGAAGATTGGCTGGTCTTCTTTTCTGTAAAGCTGCTAGGATACATTAGTCTTGTGAAAGTTCATTGAGTCATATCAAAACAGGTAGTTTTGAGGTTGATGTGAGCATCTTTTTGGTGGTGTTGTTCATGTAGGCCTGCTACATGCCTATGGTAGCTAGCCAAAAGTAATTTCATTGCAAAGGCCTTTAAGGACATGACAAAAGGAGCAGAGTTGTTATAGACCATCTGCTAAGGCAACAGGAAGTGACATGGGAGGGTTCATCAGAATTTTGTATCCAAGATAGGAAATGGCAAAAATCACAGCCTTTCAGCTTCTGAACAGGATGAGCAGCTACTGCTGATGTAATGGAAAGTAATTGTCAGTTATAAAGAAGGAATGCCTCAGTGGTCACAGCTGTCACATTTATCATTAATAAATTATATTCTTGCTGGTAAAAATTGCATCTTCTTCAGAAAGAACAACAGGCCAGTTTGACTGTGTTTTGATTACAGTTATGGAAATGCAATATGTGGCAACAGTGTTACATGAGTATCACAAGTTACAATGGGATTTTGTATGTGCATAAAATTCAGTGTGCATGTGCACTGCAAATAAGGACACTAGAAATTACACGTCCCTCAATAGCACTGGGTGTTACTCTTGCCTCAGTCAAAATAGAGCTTTTCTGCTGTCTTCCATCAACATTTCCAGAGGAAGGGGAGGAAATCTTTTCCCTATCAATGTCAGAATAAGACTCCTTTTGAATTTAGGTCAGCCAAGACTACACCCAGATGAAGTTTATTCCCTATTGTTCTCCACTATTTGTTTCCACCAAGGGAACAACTTCAACAACAAAAGAGGCTTTTTTTCCAAAACACACACACTTAGAGAACAGAAGGTCCTTGTTCTAGACAAGTTCTGTTTAACAGCATTTTTCTGAAAGAAATTTCATTATATACTCTACTGTCTGTGAGATCATCTGCTCCTGTCAGGCAATGATCTGACAGTAATGACTTGTAAGTAGAATCTATTTGTACTTTTAGTTTTAACCACAGACCCAACCACACAAGGCATGAGAAGTCCTTCCTAGTATGGCTGATACCATTTCAATTAGGGAACAGGTTTAAAGGGAGCAAGAAAAGTTAATAGGGACTGCTAAGATGATTAAGAGTTGGTTGGATAGTGTCGTGTATTGATCCTGAGACGTGCTTTGGCTTTGGTTTGCTACCTACACTTTGCTGTTAATTTGTGGTATTCTGCTATTCTATTCCTTTTTCTACTAATATCACTGAGTAGTCTATAAAGACAAAACTTTCTACTTGCAAAAACAAAGGAAAGTTGGGAAATTTCTGTTTAGGGTACCCTGTTGAACAGTGTCCAGGTCAACTATTCTCATTTGCATCAAACCATTGGAATTTATTGCAAGCAATTTTACTGTTTGTACTCACATATACACTGCATTTGTCCGGATTGCCAAAAAACATGGGAAGCTGTAGCTATCATAATGCACTTGTCACCTGAAAAAATCTGTGAGGAGGAACTCCTACTAAGATTACAGAATGATAACCTCAGTAATGATCTGGTAACCATTTTTATGTTATTAAATGTCTCACTTTGTGTAAAAGCAGCACATTTAGAAAAACACGTAGATGCAGTGTAGCATGGAACATGGTTGACCCAAACCCACTCTTGTTATTTCATGTCACCTTGTCTCCAATCAAGATTTTCATGCAAAACTCTAAATTAGTATTAAAGTACGAGCAAAAAACCCAAGATACAGAGGGAAATCAGGGACAGGGAACCTTAAAGGAGGCTTCTTTCTCTTTTTTGAAACATGTTGTAAGTAACAAGTATCTGTATCAGAAAAAAACACCTCACATTTAATGCACAAGTGTAAGTGCTAAAAGTGCTTATCCTTCCACACCTGCTGCCAGTTGTGTTCTTGTTACAGTCTTTTGCTGAATGTGTTGTGTAAGACAGTTTTCACTGGGTTTGTTTTCTGGGTCTCTAATTGCTCCCTTTATTTCTAGGCATGTGCATGGCTTTCTTCAGAATAATACACTGCCAGGCTGCTCACGGGCTTAATTTGTCATCTTCTTGTTTTCTGTCCTTTGTTATCTACAGGTCAGTTTGCAAAGTTGAGTGCAATATCCTTCTCTCTCCTCTCAAGTAAGTATCAGCATTTAGAAGAATGTTTGGAATTAATCCTCACAACGTGTAATTCAATTGCAATGCACCTTGTGCTGCCTGAATGGAAGTGATGATGCTGTTTCTCTCTCCTTTTAACCTGTGTCAGGATGCCTGTGAATCTCTCTAAATCAGTTCTAACTTATTGAAATGTGGTCCTAGTCCTGAGGATTCCTGTTAACCCACCACCTTTTTTACCACTTTCCTTTGTTGACCATAAGAATAAGAATATGGGCTTTTCATCCCCGGGGGATGATGACAAATACATTAGCCAGTACAGAGAAACCTTACCCAGAAGAAAAGGAATCATATTACACTTCAGGGGACCTAAGTTTAATTCCTTTCAATGCTTTGGTCTTCCTAAAATAACTGAAATAAATAATTCCTGGTGAGATCAAAACGTCTACTCTACTGTGTGAAACGGGAGTTAGGCAAACGCTAAAGGAAGCAATTCACCAGCTGCTTAACCTCAGAGGTGTCCTCAGATGTGCTGTGGAAGTTTAAAATGCGCCAGTCCAAACTGAAAGGTACTCAGCTCCTCGCTAGGGTATGGCAATTAACATATGGCAAGAAGGTGTATAAATTCTCTGCTGTCCCATATTGAGGTCATGTTCCTTACACATGCCAACCTCACAGTGGCAGCGCTGAGAGTAATGCCAAATTCAGCAATTGTATTTTTCTTCAGGAAGACAGACCACATCTATTTTTATGATGTAGCCTGTTATTCTGAACATTTGCCCAGGAATGGGAGACCACATATTTCCTTCTTGCCTCATCTGAAGCTGTGGACTCTGTTTTTCTGACTTCCAAGGAGAGTGCAGTGCCCTGCAGTGAAGATGGCAGTGAGATGATGCTGTCCATCCTACTGAAACACTGAATCATGGGGTAACAAGGCCAGAAAGGGAGGATAAATCAGGATAGGGATCTGATTCTGGTCTGCCAGCTGAGCCTCTTCCTCAAAGCCAGAATTAAATGCAACCAGAGCTCAACGATCAAACAGACTATACAACTTGGGAGCAGCGTCATGTTCCGATAAGCAAAACCAGTGAACTAGCTTGTGCCAACCCTAACAGGAACTCGAATTGCTAGACTTTGTATGCCATGTTTTATGCTAATTTATATAGTGGTCTTGATGGTAAAACTTGACCTTGATTCAAGGGGTTTTCAGCTTCTGATGACAGTACAATTTGGTTCTTAAAGTGCATGCCTTGTGAAAGTAGCTGCTAGTAGGTATTTCCAAAGCATTTGTCTCAGTGTCTCTTGCAGCTAAGGCAGAATAAATGGATGTGAAAAACAATACCCAGAGTACTATAAACAGAATTATCTGCTCATAAAAATTCTAACATCGCCCCTCAGGTTACATTCATTTTCTCAGTAGCCTTGTTAAAAACGTGAGCTGTGCAGAGTTTCCTAAACATTGACATACAGAAAAATAAGTTTTCTTATTCTGTTTTGTTGTAGTTGCCAGTTATAGATTAGGTCACGTGAACAGGAAGATAGATCTTGCAACAACAATGTGTGTGTATAACTATGTATATAGTGGAAATGTAATATATAACTGAATTTAATTAATATTAAGTTGAAAAAATCCTTCTCATTAAAATTATAAAACTCAGGCAATTCCATTTAAGATTTTCTTCTTTGTTAGGAAGCAGTGTTAACAGTGATGTGGGGAAACAGGTATTGCTGTACAGCCTGGCTTTCTTGAAAAGATCTGTCCTGTCTCGAATTAGCAGAGATCTGAGACTGAGCTACCATCTCATCTCCTGGATGCTTTTTGAAACCTTTTTGAAAACCTGTCAAAAAGAAAGAAGAGTTTCACAGTGAAATTCTTTTTGGCTCCCAGGGGAGCCCTTCAGGCAGTACCAAAGAGTGAAACATTCCCACCAGCTGTAGAAGCCCAGCCCTACAGAAATTAGCATCCAGAATGGTGGACTTGGCACTTCACCTCTATCCACAAGAGCAAACTCTGTATTATGGTATTGTGATTGATACATCTACACATTAAGGGTGGCTTAGTCTTCTCAAGATTCACTCTTTTGTGAATATGGAAGTCTGTCATATCTTCTGTATTTTATTTGGTACTTACATTTCATAGCACTGAAAAAACAGATCCAAAATAGTTCATACTGGTCATAGTGTCTAAAGTGCTTTTGCCATTTACGTTGGGTTTTTTCTTGAAACTTAGAAACTGCATGAATGGTTTTATTTCTAAGCTATTATTCAGTCAATAATGACACAAATACAGTCAGTATGGCCCTGGATGGTCATATGAGATAGAAAGCCAACAGACTTTCTTATCTCACAACAGTATTACATTTGTGCTTACTTCAAATAAAAAAAAAATTAAAACTGGGGGAAATGAGATCAGTTTATTGTAGCTCCATGTGAGTGATATTGCTGTGAATAGACAGACACAGAGTTCTGTTCAGTTCCTCATTCATCTGGCACTGATGTCATTTTTTTAAGTCTTTTTGCAATCTATTTGCATTTGCATTTTTGGAAGTGCCGTGTACAGTTCTCTAGAACTCATTTTGTAATAACACTTAGTAAAACAAATTCCCAAGACAGCAAGTGATTCCAGTAATATATAAAACATAATTTGTTTTCAGTTCACTTTTTATGCTAAGGGTACTTTAATAACACTTGTTTTATTTTTAGTAAAGCAACAGAGTGAATTTGAACTTGTCTTCAGCAAGCACTAGGCAGATCTTGACATTAAGGTGAACGTGCAGTTTTGATGACCTATATCCCCTTGATAGCAGTTGGGATTTTGCCAAGGGTGGCCAGTGGGAGAATTAAGATTAAAACCTCCACCAATGGCTATTTCACCACCTCCTTGGGCATCCCTCCCCCTGACCCCCCGCAGTGCCATGCCACCCTCCTCATAGCTTTTACTTTCTGTTCAACATCTTTGTCAGCGACATGGACAGTGGGATTGAGTGCACCCTCAGCAAGTTCACTGACAACACCAAGCTGTGTGGGGCAGTCGACCTGCTGGAGGGAAGGGATGTGCCATCCAGAGGGACCTCGACAGGCTTGAGAAGTGGAACAATGCAAACCTCATGAAGTGCAACAAAATGAAGTGCAGGGTCCTACATCTGGGTCATGGCAATCCCAGGCACATCTACAGGTTGGGTGGGGAAGTAATTGAGACCAGCAACAAGGAGAGAGACTTAGGAGTGACAGTGGACGAGAAGCTCACCATGAGCTGCAGTTTGCACTAGCAGCCCAGAAAGCCAATCAAATCCTGGGCTGCATCAAAAGGAGTGTGGCCAGCAGGTCAAAAGAGGTGATTCTTCCCCTCTACTCTGCTCTCATGAGAGCCCACCTGGAATACTGCATGCAGTTCTGGTGCCCTCAACACAAGAAGGACATGGAACTGTTGGAACAAGTCCAGAGGAGGCCATGAAGTTGATAAAGAGGACTGTAGTGTCTCCCCTATGAAGACAGAAGAGAAGACTGCATGGACACCTCATAGCAACTTGTCAGTAACCTGAAGGGGGATACAAGGAAGCCAGAGAGAGACTCTTTGTAAGGAACTGCAATGATAGGACAAATGGTAATGGGTTCAAATTGAAGAATAAGAACTTTAGGTTAGATATTAGAAAAAGGTTTGTTACTGTAAGGGTGGTGAGACACTGGATTGTGGCTGCTCCATCCCTGGAAGTGTTTCCAGCGAGGTTGGATGGGGTTTGGAGCAACCTGGGCTAGTGGAAAGTGTCCCTGCCCATAGCAGGGGATGGAAAAAGATGATCTTTAAGGTCCATTCCAACCCAAACAAGTCTGTGATTCTGTGATTCTATGATTTTGTCCTAGTGTCCAATTTGAACCTCCCAAAATGTAATTTGTACTTTTTCTGTACTTCAGCACTCCCAAGAAGATTTTTGCTTTGTTATCCTTAGAAATACCCCTCAGATAGCTGCTAACTGATCCTCCCTTGACACCTCTGCCCCAAGCCCAGTTTCTTCAGCCTCCTCCTCCTAAGTCAGGGATGCAGAGGTGAAGAAGTGGGATACAGGCCATAGACAAACCGCTCATATACATAGGTCATGCTCTACTAGCACAAACAAATGATTCAGCATCTCTTTTTGGTTTCCTGACCAAACACATCAAAATCAGCATTATGTGGAAAATTTGAAAATAACAGGAGACTGACAGTACAGTAGTTTCCAAAAATGTATGTTACATTCTCTCAGCTATGTTTTGGTTTTCCTCATTATTTTTCTCCTTAAGTCCTCCTCCGCTTTGCATGTAGGTGTAAAAGAACTGTGACCATGTTAACTGGGATGAAGCAGCTTTAGTTTTGTGAATTCAATTCTAAAATTACACGAGTGATAGGGATGCTTTTTGAAAAATCACTGAATGATAAGTAACAGAAAAGTACCTGTAGATTAAGTTATAAAAAAGAGAAAGAAACAGTTTTAGATCATGACACATCATACGAGTCTTAACTTGGAATTAATTTAGGCCTTTCCAAAATGTTGCGATGAATTCGGAGCTCTGAGGTTCATTAGTACTCATTATTTCTTGTACAAAAATCTCTCTACCCCAGTGCTGGCTGTGGAACAGAGAGAACCCTTGAGAGAATTTAGAATAACCCTTCCTACACTCCACCAAAGAGAATTCATTTATCCAGAACATTTGAAGCAAGCCCAAATACTCAGCAGTACTGTCAGTGCTTCTTGATGCATCCTGTGTTTCACAAGCCACTCATTTCACTCTTTTGGTTTATAATGGTACCATCAGGAAATATGAGATGTTGCTCTATATTTGGATATTATGAAAAATTTCTTCACCAAAAGGGTTGCAAACATTGAAACAGGCTGCCCAGGGAATTGGTTGAGTCACCATCCCTGGAGATATTTAAAAGACATGTGTATGTGGCACCTGGGGACATGGTTTAGTGGTGGGTGTTGGCAGTGTGGGTTAACATTTGGACTCAATGATCTTAGAGGTCTTTTCAAACCTAAGTAATTCTATGATTTACATAACCCTAAAATTGATTCAATAAAAATCAGTCTCAGGCAGCTGAGAACTGACCTTTTCCATGCCTTTCATTTGCATTTCTTGTGAAAAGCAAAATGCTCCTTTACTGAGATTTCCAAATTAGTTTGCAGACCTAAGTGGCACAAATGAATGTCTGATTTTTGAAACATACTTGTTTAAAATGTACCTCAGAAATTTTTTCCGCACCTCTCATTACACTTGCCACTTGCAGTGCAGGTTTCCTTTCCATTTATCAACAAAATGTTAATGCTTGTCTTTTGTAACTGCCTGACACAAGGAGATACTAAATTAAGATCATCATACCATTTGGCATGCTTAGATATTAAGGACTGGGGTGGAAGCATTTGTGCTTGAATAAATAATACAATCAAATGGTGTCAGGAAGGAGAAGCATCAAGCTAAACTACCTGACCTTTTTTCATTCATCATATTTAATTTAACTATTTTTGCTGAAGTACTTTGCATTTCCTCTCCCGTCTTGTAGTCCAGCTCTGTGCCTGAAATGAGTGGAAAAGAATTTGTGTCAGTAGGGTGTGGTCTATTATGCTGTTATTATCATAGCTCATGCAATGCAGATTGGTTTTCTAGCTGAGGTAGTTCAGGACAAAAAGGAATGAGATCCTTAACTTTGGAAGGATAAATATGCCTAAAGCAGATGTTTGCATTATTACCTGACTGTAGATCCTGATGTAGTTCTGAGAAAGAGCAGCAATCATCTACCAAGCGTTTTCCATGACCAACTAGAACTTTGATGCCTCCTCTGTAGGAATTTAAGGTACTCCCTGATGCTTCAGGACACAGAGGAGCACTAGGAGAATCTGGTGCACCAGGGAACTAGGCTGTTTATGAGCTATAGCATGCAGAATCATCCTCTTAAGTAACTGCAGTTCTTTTTAGACACAGTAAAACATACCCAGGGCAAGACACTTGCATGTGAGGGGAGGCTCATGATGGTGAGTGACTGTTAATCGGGTGGCTGAACACTGCACTCAAGGGGAATAATCCATGGGTTTGCTACCAACAGTCTATTTATAGAGCAACCTGGAAGGGGAAAATGGAAGGGAAAATGGGGACACTGCAAGTCTGTGTCAGTACAGAGTGAGTTATCCCCGGGTCCCACAGCAGAGCAGGCAACAGTCTTCTTGCCTATGGCAAGAAAAGTTTCCAGCTTCCCATGTGCCAAGTTTCTGTTTACAGCTCAAATACCTATGGCTTACCTAGGTAGAATGGCTGTTTCTCTTTTTTAGCTTTTAAAGTGATAAGCACAGGAATTGGTCAGCTCCTCCTTTTTCATCTCTATAAAGCAGCCATCAGAGGCGCTGCTTGCTCTGCCTATGTGGGTGCAGCACCTGAAACCAGCACTCTAAAAACCTTCCCTAAACGTTTTTCAACAGGGAAGCTGCAGCCAGACAGACAACGAAAGCTACGTAAGAACCGATGATGAGGAGAGCTGCTTTCGGACAGACGATGAAGAAAACTCAGCTGCGAACTTCACAGAAGAGTGGAACCAAGAGGTGCAGCGTCTCTTGACAAAAAAATCACATAACTAAGTTCTGAGGACTGTAGCACAGTACTTTTGTTCTAAGAGTTGTAGTTTGTAGATGTGTGTTTTTGACAACAAGACTTTTGTTTAAAGCTAACTTATATTAGCTACATCTTCTGTAACATGGCTCATTACTGGTGAAGCAAACAGACTGACGTACGAGCTGCTGTCACAGAGGACAGTGGTGTTAATAACTCACATAAACCCTTTGCACATGATATTGAACCTGTTCAGTTTACAATGACAATACTGTTTATAGATAGAAATTTGATTTCTGAATACTTTGAGATTTTAGTAGATCGGTTTACTGTACACTGTACATTTTTTCCACAGAGGAAATAAAAAGTGACAATTATGCATTTAACACTGAATGATCATACTCCTGAGTGTATATATTTAGTAGCCCAAAAAGCAAAGTACCAGACTATATTTGCAATTTGTTTGCAAGTCTTTAAATTAAGGCTTATACAAAATGTACTAAAATAATAATAATATAATTAATTATAATAATCAACTTCTCTAATTTAGGGCTAATGTGTAACTTAGGAATGTTTCTTTCAAAATAATCTAACAAATCAGCCATAGAAGTTAGTGTAAATATTTTTTTTCCAAATAGATATCATATACAAAAGGTGACATTCAAATGATATAGAATCTAGTTTTTAAATCAGCACAGATCTTCTTAAAACTGTGAACTATGTTTTGAAATACTCGTTGCTAAAGCTGTTTATAAACCACAGGTGCCATAAGATCCCTGAACTGACTGATGTTACGTATAATCCTCCATGGTATTGTTTCATTGACGTTTTAGCTTTAGTAAGCATGTGTTCAACAAACCGGCTCTTTCCATCTCTCTGCCCCTCCTCTTGCCCCCGACCCTCCTCCATTATGTTCTTTTCGAGGCCTTCAGCTTTAAATGTACAGGCTTAAAGTGCGCTTGCAACTGTTTTCTTTTGATTTCCGAATGTGTACTGCCTTAGCCAGCCACCAGATGTTCTGCATGCCCTCTTGGAAATGTGTAGTGAGACTCTTTCAGAGCTGGATGGAGAAATAGCGATCGGGGAAAAGCACAAGAAGAGTGGTGGAATGTTTTCTAAAGGACAGGCATACAGTTACGGAATTGGAGTTCGGTCCAGTTTAGTATTTTTCCAGTATCAAGGCATTTCAGGAGAAAGTGTACTGACCTGGCCGTTAGCAGCGAGACTGCTAACTAAAAAGTGTTTGCTCTGCTGTGACTACAAACCTACAGGTACTCCTGAGCAGGGATTGACACAAACTAGCTGCAACTACAACTCCCCAGAGCACATTGCTTGGAAAGAAAGGCAACGCTTGTATGGCACATAGCACTGCCATGCACAGAAACCAGACCCAGGCCAGAGGAGCTGGAGCAGCAGCCAGGCAGAGACAGCAGGAGACATTCTGTGCTGGCTGCCCAGCCTTCCTGAGCTGAGCAGTGTGTTAGTTCAGCACTGCCTCTGCCCCAAAGTAATTTTACTGCCCTAATCCAATATTAGGCTTCCAGTACCTGGCTGACCTGAAGTGACACTGTCTAACACCCCTGAAAACAGTGGTGTTTCATACAGATATTTCACACCAACACTATTTGCCTACAGCAAGTGATGAGATACCCATCTAAAGCAGGTTGATATGGCTTGTCTGTCCTTGCTTTCATGGTGACGTGGATGTGCACTGCCGTGTTTACGTGAGATTGCTATGTAGCTCGACCCAGTAAGTCCAGTTGTTTGCATGCACTCTCCAGGCTCGTGGCTGTTTCCCTGGGCACTATGTGTTAGGGAATGAGTATCTGTATGAAAGAGCTGCTGCCATTTTTCACTTTCATATCGTTTTATTGTGTATAGAAAATCTCTTGTCCGCATCTCCTTGCATATCTGGGCTTAGTCTCAGACTTCCAAATGCATACTAAGGGATCCAGATATCTTCATGTAAGCTTTTAATTTTTGCAATCACTGGTCTTTGCTCCTGGGGTATGTGCCATCCTGGCAAGGCAAGCACCATATCCTCCACTGCCCCCTCCTCTGACCTCCTCTCAGGAATGGGTTAGCCTCCACTAGTGCCTAGCACTCCATGTTTTAAGCTACTCCAGTGAACCTGTAGACATTGCTGTCAGCTCAGGATTCCAGGCAAGCATTTCCTGAACAGGGACTAAAGAAGCTAGAACACAGTACATGCAATGGCTGACTAATTCAACCCATGTCATGTTTAACTGTACCCGGAATAATAGATCCCTCTCATCATCTTAATGTCTGCGTGCTCATTATCGCTATGCTTAAAATAGATGCAGTAGACTAAATCCATTGCAAGAGCTTCCGAAATAGGAGTAAGGACTAAAGTTGACTGATTAAGCACCTTTCTTTTAGGCTGGTGTCAACAAGGTGATCCCTTAGAATTGGAGCTCTGGGTCCCTTATGCCCTGGAGCTCTGAGATGAAGCACCTCTTATTTAGCTCTCCAAACGTCTATTTTAAGCATTTTCCAGCTGTTAAGCTGGCTGCATTTTCTCCCAGCTGGTCTTTGTCTGCCTGTTGAATATTATTTTGGTTGTGGTTTGGGGTCATTAAAACAAACAGAGTTACAGAAGAGGTCCCTGGCAGGGCCCGTTTCTTAACTACCAATGGCCCACCACAGCAATCAAAACTCCGGGTGGTTTTACTGTCACTGGAGGAAAACCAGTGGTTTGGAATCAGGAGACAGGGATGTGAAGATGTATAGGGTCCTTGAATGTCCAAAGCGAAGGTGGAGAATGGGTTGTCTGTAAGTAGTAATGTTAACTAAACTGCATAAAAAGGTGTGTGGCCTTTGTTGTGATATAATATGTATTTTCTTATATGCATGAGCCAAATTGTTGCATCATAATTTATCATAAGTGTGTCCGCCTTTACTTTCAGTCATCATCTTCTCCCATCCTTATTGGTTCTTGGCAATTACTGTAGATAGACCTTGTAAATATTGCAACCTCAGGTTGCTATAATCACGTTGGTTCAATTCAGCAGATGGAGCTGTGAACAACAAACACTCCACTGTGTCCCGAAGATAAAAGGGCATTTTTACCTTTGAACCAAAAACAAAAAAAGTATGAAGAGTTACACCTTGAGGCTACTAACTGCAAGACGTTTTTAAAACTACTGTACTTGACACCACTTGAGACAGATCCAGAGACACTGAAGATGTCACGATATTCATTGGTATTGTAACAGAACTGCTATTGTATGGGGTTTTTGTATTGCTGTTAAGTATTGTTTTGTGTGTGTGTGTGTTGGAACCTACTGGGGACATGTTATATTTTGAAGTGATTAAACTATTTAATTGTGTGTCTATATTTTGGAATGGAATTATTTCTTCATTAAAAAGATTTTTAAAAGGAATTTATGGAGCATTATGTTTGTGGCTTATTTTGGTTTTAGTTGTCCTGTTCCGTGAAGCTCAAGCAGTGTTTTTTCTCAGTAGGGAAGGAAACTGTGTCCCTGTGGTGCAGCAAGCAGTCTTCGCTTCACCCACAATGTCTCCTCCACCTTTGCACAAGGGAACTCCTTCCACGGCACTTTGAACATGGTACCAAGCAGCATCTGCTTTCAGTGGCCCAAGGAATTGTTTCTTCCTTTTTTCTTAATTATCTGTATCTTTAGCAGTTTCACAACCTGAAAATGCAGTTCCCCTGTCTGTAGAATACCTGCTCCTGTATCCACTTTACAGCAATGAAAATTACCATAAGCATAGACATCAGGGCCTGACACAGCTCCTGGTACAGACCAGGAGGAGAGACATTGGTCCTCAGAAACCTAAACTATCTACAATAGTGTAATTTCTTCTTGCCCATTGTGTTTCTCTGAACTTTGAAGGAGCAAAACCTTGGAACAGGTGCATTTGAATGCCTTTACCATACACAATCATGTTGTCTTTTATTGCAGAAGGACCTGAAGTCTTTGTTTTTCCAATTACACTTTTAAGATGTCTTTCCATATCAGTTGTTGGTAATTGCAACTGGTTGGTAACCTAAAAGAACATGGAGTTGCAAAGCAAGAGCTCTTACTTAAAGCAACAAGTTTGTGTCCTTATGCAGTACTTGGGGGTACGTCATTAGGATACGGCAACATCTGGAGGCTCTGCCTGGCTGTGCTGGTTGTGCCTGTGGTGCTCGTGGTGCCCCCCAGGGTATGTGGCTGAGGGTGTGCTGCTGGCCCGTGGTGGGAGCCCTTCCCAGCAGATGTGCTGCAGCCACCATCGCAGTGTGTCTCTGGCAGCTCAGCGCAGCTGAAATGTCCCCAGCTGTGCACACAGTGTTCTGAGCTGGCCAATTAGTTACACCGGGATGGGGCCTGTTAGAAGGAAAGCAGTAGCAGCATACCAAAAATACTCTCTATCTACTTACCAGATATCCCAGTGTTTTGGGAAGCACACAAAGCCCAGTCTGCTGCCTCCTTCAGCATTGACTGCTGTGGTAACCTATAAATCACCAGGGTTTATTTGCCCTAATTCCCCTGTCTGCTTGGTGATGTTCTTCAATAAAGATGATCATTTTACACTGTAAATTATTTGCCAGATCTGCTGAACTTTGCCTCCACAATCCCAGTCCAAATTCATATCTGCAGGATTGTAATATATGATGACATATCAGCTCACGAGGATAACTCTGTTTTATCCATGCATAATCCCAAATTGCTGTATTTCTTCCTAACCCACAATCAAGTCCAAGGCCCTTGGGGAATAAAGGGGCCAGTGAAAACTAATTTATAAGCAAAGACTGTTTTTCTCTTTGGCTCTTGGTTACTCTAGCTGCCTTCTGCTCCCCATGAGGAGAAAATACACATATGGGAAGAAATAATTTAGTTTCATTTGCAAAAGGAAATAAAAATACTAAAAAAAAACCCAAAACAACAAAAACAAAACATTAAAATGGTCTTTAGATCTGGGAATTTGGCACCTTGGCTGCATCAGCACTGAACTAGGGGAATAAAAGCATCTGAACTTTCTAAATGCACCTGGGAGTTTCATTCAGCAGCACACAATTCTACAATCACTCTTCCAAAATTTGCCTGGGAGGCTCAGCTGTTGCTTATTCCCTTGCAAGCAGCCCTTAGTTCTGGGTGAAACCTTTTGAGAGGATATTGCAGGAATGTGAAGCTGAGTTTATCACAGAAATAGGTTATGTGGGGTAGGAAGAGAAATCTCTATTGTTCCACAATGAAAAATGCATTGAAAAATTTCAGATGCTTCAGGATCATCTGTCTAATACCCGAGGTAATCCACAGATTAAGCATTCTCCTTTGATTTCTGCTGGGTGATTGCCACCGGTTGAGTTGCCTGTGGATTAGGACAGCTCTCCCAAACTGCCAGCACTGCACCAGTGCTCTGGCTGCAAAAGGCAAAGCACCAGAATTATGCTGTGCCTTTCTGTAATGCCCCAATCCACTTGGGGTGTGAGGGGAAGGTAATTTTTAATTACTCTGGGCAGTATGTGGGAGAAAAAACTCAGTTCTCAGGAGGTTCAAGAAGAAGTAGTTTTTACTTATGAACTTTGTGTCACCCGTGTGGAATAAGACACTTGGCAAGAGGAAAATCCGTAAACTTCACAGCATTCAAACATTCCAGGCAAACTTTAACTCAGCAGATCTTGAGAGAACAAACCCTTAGCCTTGCACTGAGCACGGCACTTAGCGAGTCATTAAGGGGACACTGCTCAGTGCGGATTGTAACTTAATGTGTTGCAAAGGAGAAAAGAAGAGAGAAAAAGAGAAAAAAGTACGTGAGAGAGGCAGACAGTCACCACCCGTGGATCCAGCGCGGTCTCCTCAGCTTCCACCCCAGGGCAGTGGGCTCACATCAGGCTGTCCTTCTGTCTGT